CGCGCCTGCCCCCCGTGCGGGTCCTTCCCACTGCCCCCGGGCACCCTGCCCGCTTCACACCAACACCACACCGAACCGAGCGACCTGTCTGAGCGGCATGCATACAGAAAGGAGGAGTGAAACACGACCCGACCAAACCCACAACAACAACAACAGAATTTTAAGGCTACGCATAAAACAAAACGAAGCAGTATCTTTAAAGCTAGGTAGCAAGTAGCATTTGTGAAACATAAGGCTTGAGGCTTTTTGATTCTTCAGAACAGGTTTATTTGCTTTTCCTTCTTAAACACCAATGTACCATTTTTCTTCCTTCGCTTGAGCAGGGATTTCGTCTCCTCGGCAGGGGGTTTAGCTCAGGGAGGTGATGTTGGAGCGGCCTCCCGGGGGCGCGACGATGCGCTTGCTCGCAGAGCGAACCCCTTCATCGACCTGGGTACCTGGGAGAGGACAAGAAAGCACAAACGGAAGGGGGAAAGGGAAGTTAATAGCTTTTTTTTTTTTTTTCTTTTTTTCCACAAAACCAAGCAGTCAGGCAGCCTGGAGTCTTGCTGAAGAGCCTCCCAAGGCTGTCTACTGCAACCTGCTCCCTCTCCGACTCCAGTAATGGCCCCGCGAGCAGCAGTGGCTCCAACGCCTCTGTGGACACTCCTCTGTGAACAGACCCGTGCTGAGAGAGCAGGGTCTGATGCTGTGCTGGCACCTCCGTGGCCACAGTCCTCCATCCTCCTACTGCAAGGTGCAGCAGGGTGGAGGGTGAGCTCCGGCCGTGCCCCTTAGGGGACATACAGGGTCCTGCCCTGCCAGACTCCACAGTTGTGCTCAGCTTGCCCCAGGCCATCTCCCAGCGGCCCCCCAGCCCAAGCTGGGTGCTGGGACAGCATGGCTGGTGGCCCTGCACTCTGCCAGCCCAGCCACCACATCTGTTCACCTGACAGGCTGAATCCAGACTGATGGAGGTTCCTGACGGGGGGTGTTTGTCGTGTGGGGGACCCCCTGGTTGACCCCGCAGGTGTGCCCCCCTTGGGGGTGGTGGTCAGGTCAAACACGGGTCCATCATACATGCCCCGAGGCACAGCATGCATCTCCGCCACCTGTCACCAGAGAGAAGAGGGCAGTGACACTTCTCTGCTCCGAGGGAGCCTCTTGCCACAGCAGCATCACACTCCAGTGATCCTCACAGGGACAAGTCACACCACCAGCCCTGCACCCTCGTCCTGCGTGCCCAAGACCTCCCTGCAGCCTGGTGGAGCCCCATCACCCATCTCCTGTGTGACAGCCCCCCTTCACTCCCCCCCCACAAAGCGTGCAGAGCCTGGTGTGCAGGTCCATGCTGCATGGATGGGGAAGGAGAAGGCCATTTTACCCAGTCTCCTTGCTTTTAACTCAGCACTCCCCTCCAGGGCAAGCATCACCCACTGCTCACCCAGCCAAGTTTCTGCCTCCAGTGGTGGCATATCATCAACACTATGGACAAAGGTCTCTACCCAAGCTTTAGCTATCCCAGCTGCAGGTTCAATATACACCAGCTTGCAGCAGTGCTCCCAGGGTCCAGCAAGATAACCAGAAGAAAATCAATCCAGTCTTAGGGACAAGGGCAGTCTGGGCTAACAGCATCCCAGCTCTGCCTCCTCGCACCCCTGTCTCCTCACCTTCCTCCTGGCTTTGATCCGCTTGTAGACATAGTCAGGGAACGGGCTGCTGGGCAGGAACCGTCCAGTCCCTTGGGTCACGTGCAGGTTGCCATCCTCCAGCATGATCTTCCCCTGGCATATGACAACCAGCGGGGCCCCACGCAGCTCCATCCCTTCGAAGATGTTGTATTCAGCTGCCTGCAGCAACCAGGGGGTGATGGTCAGGAGGGACGTGAGCACTGCCTGCCCACCCAGGGCTCTTTGGTCCCCACACCTTGCTGCTGAAGTCACCAGTGCAGGGAGAGGACACCTGTAACAGCCTTGCCTGCTCCAGAGCAGGGCACCCACCAGAACTCCCAACATGCTCCAGGACCTGCTGCTATGGAGCTCAGTGTGAGCAACAACCCCAACAACAGAGAAGAGCAGGAGCTAGGCTTGACATAAGGGAACAAAGCACGCTGGCAGGGCCAGGAAAAAATTGTACCTGCAAGAGGAACCCAGGTAAGGAGAAATGTGTACCTGCAAGGGCCAGGCTCAGAAGAGCAACCGAGCAGGGTGAGAAAAGCTCCCTGTGCAGAGCCCCGGGCTCACCGGCCTCCTACCCTAGAGTCACAGCTGGCATCACCCGGAGCCTGGCCTCAGCCCTTCCTCCTCAGAGCCCAGCACAGCAGGGCAGCACCATGCTCCCAGCAGCCAGGCAGCCTTTATACAGTTCTACCCACATGCCACCCTCCAGCTCCCCCAGAGACAAGCAGAGGGCTTACAGACTGATGGGTTTTTGCCGTGACGATCTTCACTGCATCAGGATCCCATATAACCAGGTCGCTGTCGGAGCCCACTGCTATTCTTCCTTTCCGTGGGTACAGGTTGAAGATTTTTGCAGCATTAGTGCTGGTCACAGCCACAAACTGATTTTCATCCATCTTCCCTGTGGCCTGCTCAGACACAAGGAGAACTAAGCACTCTTTTGGGGAAAGGCAGAGTAAGAGCCCTGGGAAGCACCAGACTCACCCCCACACAAGCCACTGGCTGGCTGGGTCCAGACCACTGTGGCTGGTCCCACAACTGGTGCCAGACAGATCAAAAACTGGGGGCACAGTCACAGCTCCTGGCTGTTCACACTGAGCCTGCGACAGCTGCTTCTCCTGCTCTGGCTTGTTTTGACTCTCAAAGCCAGAGAGAAGACAGGCAGCTGGGTGCCCAGCTCGGCAGGGGTGAGAACACGGGTGTCTGAGGTGCTCATTGAGCTTGCCCACGCTGCAGTCTCCCTCGCATGGCACTTACCACTGCCTTGTCCCAGATGACAGACATTCGTTCCTCTATGCCATTGGTCCCCTCTGGGATTGCTGTGAAGTTGTCTTTTCCAATTGCTTTCTGTGCGGTGCTGAACGTACAGTGGGCACTTCCTGAAACCTGCAGGTCACCACTGAGGGGTGGTGGTAACAAAAGCACTGTCAGCCATTGCCTGGTCGGACAACAGCAGGGACACGAGGGACACAGACCTCTCCTGGGCACAGGCAGCCCCTGGCTTGGTTCTATTTTTCTCTGCACCTTCATTTCTACAGCCCCTCAGTCTGAGCAATTCCACCCAATTCAGCCCCCGTGGTGGCTGCCTGACAAGGGGCACAAGGGTGGGAGAGCTGTGCCAGGGCACACTGCCTGCCTGGGGCATGGAAAGCATCCTGTGCAGGAGAGGATTCAACAGCTTGGCTCCCAGGGAACAGAGCAGCCTTTGTGTCAAGCCCAAAGACATCCTTCCATACCAGACTCCATCATTTACACTAATAGAAAGAAAAAAACATCCCACTGTGAGTCAGAAAGGCCATTTCTGGCAGGCCATCAGGTCTGCCTGGGAAAGCAGCCTTTCTGCCCCACGGGGAGGAAGGGGCACCTCCACCGAGGACCGTGCTGCCCGGCCCCTCCTGCACAGCC